TAGATGATTGATTTTCTATATATGAATTGTGAATCATTACTAATGAAAGGTTTTTGATATATTTATCTATCTTAGAGACATTGGGTGCCGCTATTTTTTTCTTCAGGATGTTCATGTATGAATCAGGAATGAAAGTAATGCTGAAATATTCAATAGTGGCTCTTTAATGACATCAAGAGAACAATTTCAAGTTACAGATGGGAACAGACAGAGAGGGCTTTGCTTGGCACAGGAGTCTGAAGCTCAGATGTGCAAGACAGAGAAATAAAATACCAGCTCCAGAGAATATTTTGAATGTTACCCTTCTTTGTGATAGTCCATCCCATCATGTAATTGTCACAGGGTATCAAGTTTTTAGTATTCATTTCCTGATACATTGTTCTAATTTTTACCAGGAAGATTTATTTTGAAGCTTTGGCTTGACTAGAATTACAGGTGTAAGGACTGGTTCAAGTTTAAAATATTTACTTACTATCAACCTCTAAGGAATCGCTACAAGTCTAATCTAGTAGTGAGACACTGAGCACCCTGTAGATCCTTCCTTAAAACACCAAAAAAAAAATAGTATCAGCCTCTAAGATATTAAGAAATCCCATGTAGTAGTTAAACATTGTAAATATGCTTCCAGTGGATAATAGAATTTTCAGAAACCATTATCTATGGAAAAGTCATGGCCAGTGTGTGGACTACTGTACATTTTGAAGAGCTGCTTACCCATGCCTTATAGAAAAATTTAAAAAGGATTTAAGAATGATAGGCTAATAACTGCAGTGTAGGCAAAGGGTTTTTTTTCCCCAGAAAATTACAACTTATGTTTTTGCATCCATGGCTATTAGCTAGGCATTTTGTGAAACATAATGTTAAAAACAAAAAGTAAGTTACTTCTTCACTCCAACATTTCACAGATTCTGGTAGAAATGTAAAGATCATGGCTCTTTGCACTGTCTCTGGGAAAGGCTCTTTTGCTAAAATTCTTCTCATTTTTCTATCCTCTCACCTCAATTATAATGTACTCTATTCATTATTTCAACTTCTCTAGTCTTATGGTATGAATCAAGATCTGTAAAACTGGCCAATAGCAGAATTTAATGGCCCTTGAGTAAAAGGAGGTTTCTCTTGATGAAAGCCAAGGGAACAGAAAAGCAAAATATATGCTTTTGAAATTTAATTCCTATGGACTTTTATTTTTTTCTTCAAACTATACTGACTGAAATGGTGGAAAATACAAGTAGCTTCAGAGGAGCTGAAAAGCTGTAATCAGATATGACTTAAACTTTGGCACTTTATATTTGTATCTTTTGGAAGGGCTTTCTATAAGGCTCTCTGGTATTCTGGCATGTACTCAAGAGATATTATGCGTCATGTATTCATTATTATGCTATAAAAGAGCCAAGTATTATCTCAAAAAGTTTTAGCTGAGTTTCCTGACCACACAATTTATATGTGGACAAGGAAGGTTCAAATAGGCCACCCAAATTAAAATTAAAGCTTCCATTTTGTGAATAAGAATCTCCTTAAACATTTTCATAATGTAATCTTCATTGTTCATATTTATTCACTCACAAATTGTGTTTGTACAGCCTTTTGCAAATGTACATTATCTTTCTTGAAAGCACAAACCATCATTGTGATGTACTTTATTGCAGATAGCGAGATATCTGAATCATTCATTTCCATCTTATTTTCCTTCAAAATCAGTAATGGCTCTAACTTGACATTTTTAGCATTAACCCCTTCCATTCTTCTTCATTTAATTCTGTAGAAAGTTACTGCCCATAACAGACAAGGATGAATTCAAGGTAGAGAGCTGGTGTTGGTAGACATTTCTATGTCCGCTCCAATGATGAGCTGATCTGGATTCTGGTCCTAGTTCTGACATCACTTCTATGTGACACTAGGAGGGTACTATTTTCCCTGAGCCAATGCTCCCACATAACAAAAACATGTTAATAATTTTCCCTTTTATAGGATTATGATAAGAGGAGTGGGAGATGTAAGAAAGAACATGGCATAAGTGAAAAGCAAATATAATATATTGCAAAACGGTTTGTAGCTTGAACATTCTGAAAGACTTTAAGAGAAAGGTGAGCTTTTTTTTGTTTTAAATTCATGTGTTTGGTACAAGGTCTTACAACACAGCTTGGATTCATAGTGACCCTCCTGTTTTTAGCCTCCCACTGCTGGGATTACAGGTGTGTGCCACCATGCCTGGTCTTGGTCACCAGCTCAGCACACCCAGAGGTGGGGCTGGTGAGGCATGCTGTACCAAGGATCAAAACTCTGTCCTTGTGCTTGCCTAAGCAGGCACTTAGTCTACTGAGCTATTTTGCCGGCCCTTAAGGTGAGCTTTTGGGAGGCATACCTGAATTAATGGCAAGTTATCACAGAGCCTATTATTTTGATGAAAAGCATGCAGAGCCTAATGCTTAGCTCCACTGAAGATGTTGCTGTATTCCATGTGAATGTTACACTTGGAGCCATGAAGTACTCATGGTGTTTTCTTAGGGGCAATGCCATCTAAATACTCAGAATAAAGGTTTGATGTTGTTCTCACTGGATTAGGGTCATTGGATCTTATAAGCAGATCTATTCAATTCTATCATGTGTTAAATATTACAAGTAAGCTGCAGGTCTGTATGCCAAGGCTAGTGAGAAAAATGAGAGATTAAACAACTGTTTTTAAGACTTGTGACATTTTGGATTAGAGAGGACCAAAATTGCTGGAAATGCTGCTATAATTCCTAAAACGTTACTCCAGCTCTGTGGTTTTGTATGTAAAACTTTTTGGTTATTAACTCTTCCCTATTCAAAAATCTACCTCTCTCCAAAGATCTTGAATAGAAACTTGAGACACAGATGGAAATTTTCAAAAGAACTTTATAATGTATGTTTATGAAGACATTAATGATTTAAAAATGTACCTCAAGTTCTAGCTATTGAACCAGAACAATTTTAAACACTGTAATTCTATATTGTCTGAAATAATTTTCTCTACAACAAGCTGTTCAAAGTAACCATGGTAATTCAGTAAATGACCAATAATTTCTAAATGTTCACCAAAAAAGTCCTAGAAACTACATCCCTGGCTCTGTCAAAGGTGAATATCAGCCAGGTGCAGTAGCACAGCTGAGGGAGGACATGCTGTTAGTTCTGCCCCATCACCTAAAAGACAGTTATCTTATTTGAAGAAGGAGAGGGAACTATACGCTGCTTTTTCTCTGTGTTTGGAAAGTAAGGCTAATCAAAGTTTTAGCCTACAGTGAAACTTTCTCTCGCCAATAAAGTCTGAGATATAGTTTATAGCTTAGGAAGCTGATTATCTATGTGCTCTGGCACTGGCATTAACTATTGAAAATTGCTTAAAAGTATTGAGAATTAGAGAGGTATGGAGAAATGCCAGTGTACATTGTTGATCTCATCAAATACAGGGACTCAGAGAGCAAATACTACTCTTTTCACACACATAGAACCTGTAATATCACAGACTTCCTCCATGTTCATTGTGGATGTCAGATTAGTGTCAAGGTATTAGAAACCAAAACAGTCTTAACTAGCAGAATTTTAGATGCTCATTTCAATAGGAAGAAGTGGGGGATTGTTTATCATGAAACCGCTGTTAACCACATTAGGTAACTTGCATGATTACATTTAATTTAAACATTAAATTAGTGTAATTATATGTGATATTTAAAGTGTAAAACAAAATCAAATGCCTCAGTCTCCTTTTGATAAGTCAAACTGGAAATGTAAGATGATTATTATTATTGTCTATAGTACATAGATTTCTTAAAATATTATTTTGAATGTATAGTGGTTAGTGGGTTATATAGTATTTCTTTAAATTTTTATGTTTAAACACAACACAAAGACTCCAGAAGGGAATGTGATTTAAGGCCTTCCATCCAAGACAGCATTTTTGATTCTATTTTGTCTTTCAGTCTATTTCATGCTGAGGGTTGATATAGCAGAACACAAGAATCCAAATCCTCATCTCATTGAAATACTGAATTAAAAAGAACAAATACTCATCTCACATTCAAACAGAACTTTCATGGCACATTTTCTGGATATTGAAAATGCTTCTACCTATTTTCCATTGCAATAAACCTGAAGACCTTGAATACAGCATATGTTTATTTGGTTGATAAATCATCCAGCAGTTCTCTACCAGAGATGTTTGCAACACCTAAGGGACATTTGACAGTGTCTAGAGGCATTTTTTAATTTTGTGACCAGCTATGGAAGAGCAAATAACCCCTAGTACGCCTTGGATCTAGTGGAAGCCAGGAATACAGCTAAACATCTGACAGTGGACAAGAGGTGCCCAGACAAAGAATTATCTTGCCCAAAATGTCAGGGGATGCCAACATTGGGCTAAATCTCCAGTCTACACCGAACAGATGGTGTACTCCTAACAGAAATGACTGGTCCCTCATGGCAGAGGATGCAAACTAATAGAGTCAAAATCACATTGGGACACTTCACATGAGTTTTGTTATGAGCATTTCCCTCTCATGGATCTATGGCCTGTGATGAACATAAAATCATTTTTCTCTTATCTCAGAATGAAATATAATTGGAGGGATGATGATGGTTTTACTGCTATAAAGGTCAGGAAGACCTTGGTCATCTGTTTGAAAATAAAAAAAAAATACAGATGCTTTCAAAAAGTACTGCATAAACCTAATAGAGAAGTTGAAAAGCTTGCCTTTCATGTATTACCTATTCCACATTTAAACATATTCTGCAAACGAAAGAAGAGCTGTATTTCCGGTGATCACTGTGTCATCTTATGATTTGGACAATGTTAGTATCTGTAGGCTTAATTTAGCGTACATTTCAAGCTCATGGCAAGAATAGGTATTAAGCATTTTCTAACTGTTTTGGGAATTTTAAAGGTTATTAAGTTCTGAATAACAGTCTCTCATGTTTTCCCACCAAGCTTTTCCCAGCAGTTGAATATATCTGGATCTTATTCTGGTTTTTCATTCTTTTTTTAGCTTCCTGAAATGACTCATGTTCAAACACAACGACCCTGGATGATGTTTCTTCTGCAGAACATTGGATTGATCCTAGGTTGGCTTTCTCTCTTACTCTTGGCTATATATGAACAAAACATTAAAATATAAATTAAGATTCTCAGAATCCTTCAAAAGTGAATTTGTAGGACCTTGTTTAATTTCCTCCATTGTACTCTATGATGATTAGTAAACAGTATTTTTATCCTAGGTGAAGACTGTGTCTTTTATTCATTAACTTATTAATTTTATAATGCACTTTTGTTTTGGGGAATATATAAAGGTCAGGCTCTCCTTCATGGAAATATTGTTTGTATCCAACAGTGTAATGGAACTTCTGCTTTGCTTTTCTCTCTTTTTTAGGAATCATAAAAAACTTTTAAAATATTGTTTCTCTAAGAAAGAATGTAGCATATGAAGTAGAAAGATGGCTGTTGGGATAAAATCAGGTGCAACTGGTTTGATGTCAATTAGTGATTTTTTTCTGTGAAATTATAAACCCTTAGCAAACTAAATTATAAGCAAATGTAATAAAATCTAGTTATAATGCGATGGTTTGTATTACCTTTTATTACTGCATGTCAAATTCCAAGCCCTCTTTTATAAAGCCAACACAGTATTATTCACCTGGAATCCTTACCCACTGGCGTATGAGTGCTCATGAATAAGCAATCCTGGAAACCCAAAGGATAATATGTCAGCATTCTTCTGCATAAGTTCCTAAAAGAAATCTGTTCCAGGCAAGGAGAACCTGGAAATAAAAGATCAAGTTCAAAAAAAAATTAAGACTTGAATCAGACAGATAAATATCTATGAAGACTTGAATCAGGCAGTAGATGAATGCCTAAACTCTCACAGATTGTATAACAGAGAATGTTTATGGAAGTAACCCTACTAAAAAGTATATTTTCTATTCTTTCCGAGGCAACCTAGAATCCTAATTGGGATTTTGGTAAGTTAATACATAAAATGAGCAAGCAACATTGCTGAGAAAGCAGCAAAAGTATTAAAATAGAAAACATCCCTGGCTTTCATCACTTTTTCTTGGAAAATGGGTGCATAATAGTTTTCTTCCTTTTTTTAATGAAGTATCTTGATAAAGGAAAAATGCTTATTTTTCTATCAAAATGACTCATGGCACTCAGTCACGTAAGGCTCTCTCCCCTCATTACCTTCATAGATAACTCTTTGCCGTGCCTATAACCAAGCACAATCTTTTCAACCACTTTTTAGGGATTCCAAAAGGAAGAGGGCTTCTCCACCAGTTGTCTTTAGAGCTTCTTCAAAGGGGGCTTCCCTGAATAGTGCAATAGACCTCCAACTTGGGCACGTAACACAACCACATGAGGAATTATCTGTGGGAAACAGGTGTCGGGCTCCATCCCTAGAATTTCTGACTCTGTGGGTCTGCAGTGAGGCCAGAGACCTTGACTTTGTGTGACCTCTTGGGGCATTAATGCTGCTGAAGGAAGCACAAACAGACCTGACTTTGAGAAATAACAGGTACAGAACTTTTGCTTATGAGATGTGTGCTTTGGAGAAAGCTGAAGAAGCTTCTAGAGAGCTCATGCTAGACCTGGGTTCCCAGGTCCAAACTGCCTTTTGCTTTTCCTTTCCCGTTCACGTGGAACATCAAACCATCCTGAAACTTACTGGATGAGACAATATTTTGACTGATATTTACCATGGAAGAGGTAAGTAGCTTTGACATGGAGAGCTTTGACCTTCTTTCATTACAGAATAAACTGTCAGGAGACAAACACCCCTTGGGTCAGATCAACATGGGGTGGAGGTCACATGCAAAAAGTACTGGCACCGTCTGTATTTGGGTTCCTATGTTTAGATTTTGATTTTGACATTAAACCTTAATTTCTGTCAACTTAATGAGAAGAGCTCTGATGGGTATCTTTGCTTCTGGTTCGAGTGCTCAGTGGTCTGCAACTGGTCAAATTAGAAATTTTGGTGTGAGCCGCTTCAGTTCTAACCTGGGGAGAGTGGGAGTCGGATGTAGAGGGGCTGGAAGAGAGCCAGCTGCCCGGAGACCCTAGGGGGCGCTCTCAGGATCTCACACGCTCACCACCAGTGTGCTCCAATTAGAAACACTGCCCTGTCCACCGCAGCTCATCCTGAGGATAACGAAGCAGAGGGATTTCTGAGGGATCCTTTCCGAGACCCCATTCTTTCCTTTTCTGCCTTATCACTGCCTTCGTGTAATCCACATGAGGTTTAAGAAGTCGGACCACAGCCTGCGGCAGACCTCCAGCCACAACTACAAGAAAGTGTTTCTCGAAATTTAGTGCTAATGATAAGACTATGATAACAACTGTGTGCCCTTTTTTTATGAAGAATCTAAACTGGGAATGGCTGGCCATCCTCATCCCGCTAAGCTGTCTGTGTCATGGGTTGCATGCACCCTGATTTTGGGGGTAGATGGTGTTTTCCTGGAAACCAGATTCATTAATAACATTAGAATGTTTGTTTCCTGAGCCTACACTTAGGCTTCTACTATATTTCTACTTGATGACTGATTTGGTTTTTCACCACTGAACTAGAAATGGTCCTGGAGAGAAATCAAAGGACAAATTGTGTAGGCATTTTATTTAAATATCCATCATATACTGACAGGGCTGTCTCTAAGGAGAAAGTAACTAGGCTATGTTGTTGGAATGCTGAGTAGACCCTGGGAAGCACTAGACACTTAAAATGCCAGTAAATGTGCCGGTGGATTGTAGCCACTTGCGACTTCTCCATCCCCTTCCCAGAATCCTGATGTGCGAGTAAGACTGTGCCTCCCCTATGAGACCGTCTCTCAGAAGGCTGCATATTTATAATCCCCTTTTCTCATCTAAATTGAGAGAATAGAGCAGGATCACCAGGCTTCTGATCAATAGGGGAGGTCGGGCTGACCAGATGGAGCTCTTGAGTGATCATTGAGAATTCAGGCTCCTCTTGGCATCTCCATTCAAATCCCAAGCTACACTGCTGGTAATAACAATTGCTCTTTCTGTAAAGTAAGGCTGAAAATTGATCCTATCTCCTGGGGTTGTACCAAGGTCAGTGTGGGTGGCTGCTCCTGAGGTCTTAAGCTTGGAAAAGACCAAAGACTCAACAAATATTAACCATCGCATCATCTCTACCATCATCATTGTCATTGAAGTTGTCTTCTTTAAATAGAGTTTCACAGTTTACCTCTCAGGGTTGTAACTTTGGTCAAGAAAAGGTCTTTCTTTAGTAGAAAGTGGAGATAAATACAGTCTTTTCTATAAATACAGTCCTCTCTAAAGCCACTAAACCATTTCTAGATGACTTGTAAAAGCTGTCTTGTATTTTCTTTGCCTTGAGTGAAAAGCAGGAGAGATAGAGGCTTCTCCTACCTCCTCCCCAGGCAGGCTTTGTGCATGTGTCACTTACACACAGAAAGAGCCTCTCTCTCTGTTTTGCTTTATCTCTAAAAACAAATTGAAAACTTAGCGTGTTCCATATAGTTACACTAAAGAAATTCAACTCATTTCCCCTGGTACCCATGACCGGCTGAGGAAATGACATCAGCCCTGAAAAGGCTCTGGCACCATCAGGGGAAACCCGGGGAGTGTTGCTTGAGTCCTGGATTATCGTTTCTAATGCTTTTTTTATATTACTATTTGTATTCTTAAATAAATAAATAAATAGGGCCAGTGCCATCCAGCTGGTCCTGGACAGTGGGGTTGCACCTGCTAAGGTAGTATTTTGGGGCTGGGGAACATCACGCACCTCTCAAAATCTGACTGAAACATAGGAGAAATTTTGAGAAGTCAGAGATTTTAAGAAGGTGAATTTTGAGAGCCCAAATCTAGAATAGCCTTAGCCCAAACCACACTGGTTCTTCTATTAAAAAAATTATTTATTTCTTTATTTGGTACAGGATCTCATTACACAATTCAGACTCATAGTGATCCTCCTGTCTCAGCCTCCCCAGCTCTGGGATAACAAGTGTGTGCCACCACACCTATTTCCTGAGCCTGCTCCTGTTCTCGAGTGGCTTATGAAATACGCTTGCACATCTTTCCCATATGCACTCACTGCCCGGTACCCCACTGTAATATCTTTCCAGAACAGATTCTCTGTCACACCACACAGGAGTCCCTCCCACATGCCACTCCACCCACTTTGCAAATGCCTCGTTATTTCTTTGTAATAATAATTCCCTCCACCTCTGTAGTTATAGGGAAAAATACAAATTAAGAAAAAAAAAACCCAAATCTTTTACCTACCTCTTCCCACAGGGAGAGAAAAGATCCAGTTCTGCCCCAGCTAGGCTCCCACCCTTAGCTTCACCTAGAACTCTGAAAACTCTTGGGTTTCTGCCATATGGACTCGATGTGGCCCACTGACCCTGCATTCCCCCTGCACATCAGACTAGGGAGGCAGCATATAGGTTAAGCATAACACAGTGCAGGCACTGAGACCAACGTTAGGCATTTACTTCAGCCCTTTGATTTTTTTAAAATTAATTTTATTGAGAAAGAAATAGCAATGAGACAGTTTCGAAACAGATTAATAGAACAGTTACAAGAATTAATACATTGCATATTGTCTTCGTAGTAGTTATTCATAGTACAAGCTGTGGGCAGGAGACAGGCATTTGGGCACCCAGGTGTGGAGGTACTTAGTGCCCCCTTCTGCCTCAAGCCATAGTGGACAGGGCAGGGTGGCAGCCCTGGTGGTGTCATACAGGAGGGAGCGAGTGCCCAAGCCCTCACCAGCGCTTTGATTTTTTTTTTTTTTTCCAGAAGCGAGGATTCAACTCAGACCCTTGCACTTGCTAGGGAAGTGCTTATTCCACTGAGCCATCTCCCCGGCCCCAGCCCTTTGATTTTATAACAGTGATATAACAGCAAATATTTGTATGACACCGTATGCCAGATAACAGTTAAAAGTAATGATGGTTTAGACAAGATATCATGTCTGCAACTTGTCCTCTGAATACTATGAAGACAATACTATGCAATGTATTATTGTACATTGTAGGTTGTAACCGTCCTACTAACTTGTTTGGAAACTGTTTCATTGCTATTTTATCTTTTTTTCTCATTAAAACGAATTTTAAAAACTAAAAAAAAAATAAATAAAAGTAATGATGGAAGTCCCTTGACTCCCTTCAGAAGCCTGGGAATGTAGATGCACTGTTGTTTTCAGGGCCATTTCCCAGATGCTGGCACTGAGGCCACCGAGGTCAGTTAGCTGGCGGAGTACTGGTAAACTAATGGAAGCTGACTGTAGTGTCTGTAATAATAATCCCTCCCTACCTC